GACAAGAGTCCGTCTGTGCAATGTCAAGGTCTCGATTTACTGAGGCTTAGAGTGGGCTTAAATAGCCCTGCAACAATAGAATTGGGGGGAATAATAGAAGGAACATCAGGTATTTGCTGGGACTGGAACATTCTTCTTGTCAGCCGGAACATCTAGTGGTCTTTCTTGGAACAGTGAACAGAAAAGCTCCAGACCCTTTCTCGGAACAGAAGCAGTTAGCAGTTCCGCTTGGCCAAACCGTATCTAATTACAGGTTACAGGAGGCTCACAGAGCTGGCTTTAAGCCGCAAACTTACAGGTCATTAAAAGTCTTACAAAGGTGGGCTTTAAGCCGCATAGTTTTGGGCCCACGGCCCCTTACAGTTAGTGAACTGTTCAGGAATGGTTAGGAGGTGTGGCCTTGTTGGAGGAGATATCACTGGAGGTAGGCTTTGAAGTTTCAAAAACCCAAACTGGTGGCTATTCATGAAAACTTCAGCAGGGGGTGGGGAGATGTGGTGTGGGGGTTGGGGGGTGGCTTTCCCTATTGCTCACAGAGACTCCCCTTGTGGGCCCTATCCCTGATGTAAGTCTTACAGCTCAGCTGGAAAGGCGTCCTGGCAGTCGGGAGTCAAGGAATACCACAACGTCACACCACACACAAACCTCACACAAGAGATTCATTGGGAAAGACACAGAACAGCCTCCTGTGGGGGGTCGTGGCAGCTTTTCTAATTCCTCCAATTCCAGGCCACAAAGGAAAGGTCCACCCTCCCCCCAAGGAAACCCTATATAAAGTCTGTCTTGTGTCCAGTTCTCTGCTGCTCCTCACCCGAGCAGAGGCAGCTACCCACCCTCCTGTGTCTTTCCCAATGAACCTCTTGTGTGAGGTTTGTTGTGTGGTATGACTTTGTGGTATTGTTTGACTCCTGACTGCAACACCTTTCCCCTCTTAGCTGTAACACTTACTCATACCAGGCCCAGTCTTCCGCTCCCTTTCTGCCTCCACCTTGCAGATCAGTTCTCAGCTACTGTTCAGGCACTGTGTCTGTCTGCCTGCTACCATGATCCACACTGTCTGAAACTGTAAGTAGGCCCTCAATTAAATGCTGCCTTTTATAAGTTGCCTTGTTTACAGTGTCTGTACGCAGCAACGGACCAGTGACTAGACAGGGCCCTTGCTGATCTGCCTTCTGCTCATCACCCTGACTGAGCAGAGGGCTGTGCTGTGTCATCCCCAGGGATCCAATACTGTCCTGCCTCCCTCACCAAAGCAAATGGGAAATACATATTTTTGTGCAGCTTAGCTAGCTGCTTCATATGTGACTCCTCAGCCTGATACTGACCAGGTGGAGGGGGAGGAGCCATAATTCTCTTTGGTGGGAGGCAGACATACTGGCAGACGGTAGGGTTTGCTTTCCTATTCTGTAGAATCATGTTGCAACATCTTCCAGATTCCCTGCCTGTCCCCTCACAGGTGCTGTGGGTGGTGACTCTGCCTTCCTGAGAGTTATTCCTCTTCTAGACTTCCCTTTCAGATACTGATAAGCACTGATCCCCATACCCTCCCTGTTTTAAAGGGTGCCCAGTGCCACATGTCTCTTTATGCCATGCTTATTTTCTGGTCTTGAGGAAGTGAGTTAAATTTCCAACTGAGAATATACACCAGCAAAGACTCACGGTGTATTCTAAATGTTTACAACAAAATATTTCTTGATATTTCATGGTCATTTGATTTACTCTTTGAAACCTCATGTTCCTTAAAAGACCCTTAACAAAACAAATGAAAGGCCTATGATACTTCTTTTCTATTTTTCTTTTATTAGCTTTGTAATTGATGCCATCATACTATTCTTTATGCCAGAGTTTTGGCAGAGGGCAAGTAGCTTTAGAGAGAGTGAAGAAAGGTAGGAAGGCTGCTTTCGTTTTTCCCAAGCCTGACTGGAGGGGAAATTCATGCATCCTTCCAGCTTATAGAACAGTCGCCGAATCTTTATTAAGCTGGCCAACAGCAGAAGGTCGTCTCCAGTCAGGAACCGCAGGGCTGGGATCTCCTCTGGGTCATGGAGCTTGTCAGCAAAGAAAGAGAAGGAGGAAGCTGAATGTCCGGGAGTGGAAATGGGCAGGTGGGAGGACCATTTGGAGTTGGGACAGTGGGACCATTTTACTCTGAATAAGGAAAGCAACTGTCGTGCTGTAGAGCTTGAGAGAGCAAATGGACTTCAAACACTTTCAAAGCTTACCATTTATTCAGGAAATTTCACCAGTATCTATCAAAGGGAGCTCGAGGCTACCTTAAATAGTCTCTTCCCTAGGAAGTGTCTAGTGAGCCAGGGTGATGAGAAATGCTCTGAAGACCCAGGGGGAAAGTACTGAGGAGGACATCTTCCTAGAGAAGGTACCATGGGGGTGACTAACACTCCTTTTGTTTCTCTACAGTGTGTCTTGACCTCCAGGGGTCCATTAAACCACCTCTTCCTTTGCCTCCTTGCCCTCTCCACGTCCTCACAGTCTGGTGATTCAAGGTTGATGTCTCCTAGCAGCTACAGAGGGACCTGTCAGGACATCCTGCAGCTTCAGGGCCACGTAGGAGGGCACTCAGCCTCAGTGGGAAGGCTAGAGAGCAGCAGAAGCCAGCCTTCTGCTGTGGGGGACTCAGGTGGACAAAGAACACAGTATCTTTGAGTTCCCACCTCTCCCTCCAAAGAAAGGGTAACCGTGGAAACAATGTGTGTGGGGGACCGAATATCCCTGTTATGGAATATTCTGGGTTCCAGGCCCTGGCCACATAAACAGCAGTGGTGCCAGGGAGCTCTGAGTCGCCATTGTATTATAGTTAATTAACATCAGGCTGTAACTGTTTATCTAGCCTGAGGGTAATATGCCTCTTATTTGCATCTGTATGTGTCTAAGCATCTGAATAGGCCCTCACCTGGGCGGAGGTACTGGTGGTATGTGAGTTAGGACAGAAGGTTGGGAGCTAAGCGGGAGAGCAGAGAGAGAGAACAAAGGAGAAATGGTTGCCTCGTGGTACTAGCAGGATGGTTAAGGGACACCAAAAAAGATGGCTAAAAAAAAAAAAAAATGGCTCTAGTTCCAAAACATGGAACTGAGAGCTCTCTAAAGATGACAAGATGCCTGTGTTTGGTCTTTATCGTCGTTGCATTCCAAGAAGCTTCCAGGTTCACACACCCCCACTCAGGTAGAACCTCATGGCTGTCGTGGGTAAAAGCTGAGACAAGCCGGGTCTCGATAAATGTGAAAGTAAGAACTCCTTAGCATTGTGTTCTTCCTGTTGCATCAAAAAGTCTTTTCCATATTAAAATCCATCTCCAATAGAGGAGGAGAGAAGCAATGGGAGCTGGTGTGTGTGTGTGTGTGTGTGTGTGAGAGAGAGAGAGAGAGAGAGAGAGAGAGAGAGAGAGAGAGAGAGGGAGGGAGGGAGGAGAGTGATGGTGCCTGAGAGAGGACATTTTTATGTCTTACAGAAGAATGTACTTGCCATGAGGGTGATGTACCAAAGGGAGGCTATACATTACTGTATACTCTGGAATAGCTGAGCACCTTGGACATTGCTAACTAAGAAAGAAGTTTGTTAAAAGCTGAACCAGGTAGGACAGCCAGACTGACTAACAGGGCCAAGAATCATGCTGAGTACACTTCAGGTTGAGTCTGAGGTCTCTCTCTTTTGTTTGATGGTCCTGATGAAGGGACCAGCTCCCCTTTCGGCAGCCATAACAGCCGAACACGTGATTGCCATAAACTTGCCTTGGTCACTTAGTGGTCAGATGCTTGCCTTGTGACAAGGAACCAATCAGAAGTTAGCTGGTGGCGTTATGCTTTACGACCCTGGGTGTGCTTTACAGACAAGCGCACAGCAATGACACACAAAGCATAGCAACCACCCTGGGAGGGCCTATGGGCCATAACAACCAGTTGGCCAATCAACACAGGGCAAGCCCTCCAAGCCTGGAGGCACACCAATCATGAGCCTGTGAGTACCCCTAGACACTCCCCTTATGCTGCCCTATAAGATCTCTTGGGAGGCCCTAGGAGCTGTCTTTGCTAGCCATCCACCATGGCGGGTGGGTGGAAGACCCGAGCTAACATGGGGTTAGCTCGTTAAATTACAATAAAGCCTCATGCAGTTTGCAGCAAGCTCTCGAATCCTCCTGGTGATTGGGGTGACTGCAGTCGTGGCCTGGGACCCCGGATACCTGAGTTTCCCGGGGGTCTAACACTGAGACAGTCTGTCTGTGCTGAATATTGAGATCATAGTTTCTTATGAAATGCATAAATTTTAGGAGTTGAAGGCACTCGTGAAGTTTGGAGCAACCTGCCTCTTTAAAAGCAGATTAAAAGAGGCTTCTCAGCGTCTAGGAGGTGTGTTCCAACTCACTGTGCATATGGAAACACACAAACTTCTGTGAATATCTCTCTGCATCTGTGTGGCAGCTCTGTTTGCTCAGTGCATAGTCAGTGCCAGGTACCCTGCTTAGCATTTTACATTTTCCCAGACTTCTCACAGCAGCTGTAAGACAGGAATCATTGCTTATAGTTGAGAAACTTTAGTTCACTCATATAGCCAAGGGGCAGAGCTGAGATTTGAAACTTCAGACTGTAGCTTGATGTCTTTCTTAATTCCTGCATTACAGCCATGGAGTGTGTGCTTTGATCAAGTCGGGGCAAGGCACTAGGATAAAAGAAGCAGAGAGAGCCTGCTCTATCCTTTGGGAGCTAATTGTCAGTGGGAAAGGCAGCCATGATGCAAGAAAGGCAGCCTAGCAGAGCCAGTGTAGGGCAGGGACGAGTCCAGGGTATCTCAGAATGTAGGAGATGATGATTGGGTAAAGACCTAGGCAATCTGGCAGTTTCTTCTAAGGAGTCAGGGCTTGAATTTCCTCTTAACATGATTAGAACTCACATTTCCTGACCCAGCCTAGGGCTCTCAGCCATAAGCAGAGAGGAAACAGAAACCTCACAACACAAACTCTAAAAACTACCAAGGTAGAGGAGTGCAGTCACACAATGAACACTTGACACATGCTACTGGGGAGTTAAGTCTGAATTGAAGGAATTTTGAGAGAGAAGAAAATGTAAGGTTGCTTCAAACACACAGGGAACCTTCATCATGAATTCTAAAGATTCTCAGTGAACATATTAGGCATAAATATATTCAATCAGTAATAACATTAACAAAGTTATTTTACTCTTTAAATGATTTAAAATCGCTGGGCATTGGTGGTACACACCTTTAATCCCAGCACTCGGAAGGCAAAGGCAGGCAGATCTCTATGAGTTTGAGGCCAGACTGGTCTCCAGAGCGAGTGCCAGGATAGGCTCCAAAGCTATACAGAGAAACCCTGTCTCGAAAAACCAAAAAAAGAAAAAAAAGATTTAAACTTTTTTTTTTTTTTTAACACACTCACCGTTATTTTGGTTCCAACACTGATTCTTGCCTGTTGACCCATTGCTAGAAAATTAATGGAGATCTTGTCTTGTTCTAGAATTCGGATTCCAATGTGATGGTTCAGAGCCAGAAAGACGGGTTTAAATGAAACAAAGGGTGAGGAAGGCATGGAACTTGACCAGTTCCAAGTTCGTATTCTGTTGCCAGCTTGATCGGAGTATTGGCCTCCCAAGATGTTGATATATACCCTGGAAGGAAATCAGAAGGATATATAAGAGAGCTGAATGTGGTGGCTCACTCTTGCAATCACAGCACTCAGGGGCTATGGTGGGACAATTGCCAGAGTGAAACCTTGTCTTCAAAAACAGAAACAAGGCTAAATGGTTGTGGCGCATGCCCTTAATACCAGCACTTGGGAGATAGAGGCAGGCAGATCTCTGTGATTTTGAGGCCAGCGTGGTCTGCAGACTGAATGCCAGGACAGGTTCCAAAGCTACACAGAGAAACCCTGTCTCAAAAAAAAAAAAAAAAACCCAACCAACAAACAAAAACACAACAACAAAAACCCCAGAAACAAAAAGCCCTACGAATGGTAGGTCTAGAATTCAAGGCTGAGTTAGCCCTGTTACTTCCTTACCAAGGCATATGAGTAGTGGGATCTTTAGGAAACTTCAGAGGTAATACTACTCACTTTATGACATTTGAAGTACTCAGTTCAAATTGAAGCATATTTATAAACTGAAGTGGGTCCAAAAAAAGCTGGGGTGGGGAGGGGGTGGTGATAAGGGAGCCCTTTAGGTTTCATCTAGGAAAATAAAGGATATACAGGGAAAGCTGTTCCTGAGAGAGGAGGGACCAATGCTTAGATTTTCATCAAGACAGAATGCAGAACTGTGGATGTAAATTAGGGGCGTACCCAGATCAGTCCTTGTTAAAGAGAGCTGATGCAGCTAAAAGTCAAATGTCCTTCCTTATATATTGGGGGGGGGGTTTAAGATGGTGCTGGTTACCAAACCTGGGACCTTGATCATGCTATGCATGCTCTCTCCCACTGGGCTGCACCACCAGCCATTGTGTTCCAGGCTTTTGGGAGCTAGATGTTTGGGAAGCAGGGGCTCAGGTTTACTTCTGAGTTCACTGCAAGGGAGAAAAGTTTTATAGCAGATTGTGACTTAAATCAAGTGGGCTTCTCCACCACAGGGCATTGACAGGGGCCCACATTTACTACATTATGAGTAATCATGCTTGCTCTGAGGTTTCATGTCACTCATCACCCTGACATTCTTCTGTGCAAGCTTGTTCCCATGCTCCCTTATCTTTTTCAGCAGAGGTAACCATCCCTACCATGAGCAGAGGTCTGTATTCTTAGAAGGCTGGCTTGCTTTGACAATACATTCACTGTTTGACTGTGAAATGCCCATGAGGGCCCCCATGAGTAAGATAACTAATATCTTGTTTCTCCAGCACTGACTACTGATACTAACCTGAAAGCAAAAGAAATGAAAAGCCGAGGGGATACCCTACTAGACCTGGAAAGGTGTGATTTCACACAGCAGCATTAGACTAAACTGTTCTCAATCAGTTCTCCAATTACTCATGGAGTTTATACCATAGACTTAGCTGTGTAAAGATAAAGATTCAGGACATGCCTTCAAGAAACTTCAACATGAGGAGAAAACAGACTTGCTGCACAGAGGCAGAGGGAAGGGGCTTTGGGAATGTCAGGAACCAGAGCACCCAAGAGTTCAGTTCATGGGATTGGAGCTCGTGAAATCACCTGGTCTCTACAACTGATTTAATTAATACAGGTGATGCTTATTATAATACTCCTCCAAATGTAACACAGACTTACTATGAAGGATAAGTAGAAATTTCCTATTATAAATAGTGTTATCAGATCTGTTTTTACCGTGGACTAGAAATGTATTTCTACTCACTGTGTCCCAGTTTTGTCTGCACTGGCAAGATCCAGACTTTGCCAGTTATTGACAGAGTTTCCCAAGTGAGATTATACCTAGAGTATATCTAGAGATAATTTCAAAAGCCACTTATATATGTATGTATGTATGTATACCTTTCTGAGAGGCTTAAATTGTATTTTCTTTCAGATTAAATGAAATAATATGAACTTGTAGCATGTATATATTAATGAATTAAAAGGAATCAAGATCTTTCCATAGAGATTTAACTCTTCCTCTAATTATTATGTGTGCATGCATGAGGTGCACATGGTGGGAGTTGCCTGTGAGCCACAGCATGCATGTGGAGGGCTGGGGATGACTCCATGTAGTCAGTTCACTCCTTCCACCTTTCTGTGGATTCCAGGGGGTGAACTCAAGTTGCCAGGCTTGCATGGAAATGCCTCTCCAGGCTTTGTGGCTCCAGAGCTTTGTATGTTTTGTCTGGCTTTGTATGTTTTGTCTGACTTCCCTCTGGAAGCTCACTAGCTAGAAATGTATCTCAGGGAGTAAGCAACACAGTGTAGTGTGTCTGAGTAATATTACTATCTAAAGACCACTAACTTAAACAAATCTTCCTAAAGCCATTCTTATCAAGAGGAAGGATACAATTAAATAATAACAGTGAAAACAATAACCAAAACCCGAAAATAGTAGCAAAGACCTGAGAAGCCTACCAGACATTTCCATTAGGATGATAGCAGGAGCTTCTCCCAGAGGAGTCGAGCAGTGCTAGGATAGCGGGATCGGTGGGTGTGTCTTCTTGGACAATACAAGTGAAACCATTTGTCTTGCTGGGCACTTGGATAATGGCTAGATTTCCAGATGGATAGCTGAGATCAGATAAGGTCCTGTGAGCATTTCTAGTGATCCTGGACTATGCATGGAATAAAGTTAATTTATGAGGAGTGTTTTGAAATTATGACGCATTTGGAAATGTCTCTGTTTTAATACAAAATAATGATATGCTTTTATATGGGCCAAAATGTATTTCTGAAAGGTAAAAATACCCAACAAAATGTAAGAATAAGAATTGGAAATATGGAGGAGGATTATGCATCATGATAAAATTAAATTTATCCCCCAAAATATAAGGTTGGCCCAACATCTGAAAATCAACAAATAAACCACATTAGTAGAATAAAAAGCAAAAAGAGCATGATAATCACAATAGGTATAGAAAAATCACCTGAAGAACCTTTATTGCCTCATGATAAGAAAACTTAGGAGTCTTCAAAAGATTGGAACATCTTCAGCCTGACAGAGGGTAGTCACAGAAATGCCATAGGCTAACATTCTACTCAATGGTGTGCTTTTCCTGGTAAGATGAGAACCTAAACAAAATGTTCATTCCCACAACCTCCAATGATTAATATCCTTAATTCAATTGTGTGTGTGTGTGTGTGTGTGTGTGTGTGTGTGTGTGTGTGTGTGCACCACAGAGTGCTTATAGAGGTTAGAGAGCAAGTTGCAGAACTAGGTTCTCTCTCTGTGTGCACTATGTGGGTCCTGGTGAATTGACCTCAGTTTATCAGGCTCAGTGGAAAGTACCTTTACCCACCACCCTGCTGGCCCCTCCTAGTCAATTTTATATGAACGTGTTAACCGTGGAAAGTTTAGGAAAGGACACTGTCTAGATTGGAAGGGGAGATTAAAAACATATTTGGGATCTGTGTATACAGAAAGTCTTGCGGACACCACAAAACAAAATTTTAGAAGCAATAAGTGAATTCAGGTGGACTGTAACTGTAAGCTATAAGATAAAATCAACTAGCTTTTCTTTATATTAGCAGAGACCATTTGAAAATGAAATTGAGAAAACCATCCCACTCACACTAGCATCAAAAAGAAAGCGCATTAAGCATATCTTGATGTTATTAGGCTATAAGTAAAGGCAGTTCAGAGATAATGGTAATTCAAGACTGAATTGAGACATTTTGAAAATTAGCCACAGCCTTAGGAGAGGTAAGAATTAAAGTCACGAGCTGAAATAATTAGTAATAAAAGTTGGGCAAGTTATTTAACAAAAACAAATCAACAGCAAAAAAAAAAAAATAATCCCATTCTTTCTCACTGGGGACTACAACCTTGTCATTTGCAACCATGAATGTAAATTTTCTGGTTTATTGGTAGGGTTTGATTAAACATTTGGGGTCACTGATTCAAAATGACTGTTCTACAGGAAGCACTCAGATCATAAAAAGGTCTCTTTGTGTTTTTGTTTTTTTGTTTTTTGTTTTTTCTTTTTTCCAGAGACACTGGGTGGCTTCTCTACCAAAACTCCATAGCCTGGCTATCTGAGTAGCCAATGGATGAAGTGGCTAGGGACTTTTGGTTCATGGGTGTGTAAATTGGTCTGTAGTTTGGGGGTAGAAAACATCAGGGCTGGAAATGTCTAAATTTTTTACCTAGAGTTTCTTCTCCTAGGTATTTAATTCAAGTAAATAAGTTATAAGTGTGTAGCAGGTAAGGCAGAGAGCTGTCCCCACTGCTAAAATGGGCTCACAGGACTCTGCACTGTGTGGTACAAAAAGTGCTGTCTCAATGTCTATTGCATTTTACATGCTCTTAGCATTACATAAAAGAACCAGTTGCAAAGTGAAATATATGCTAGAGTTGATTTTAAAGAACTATCTATGTAAGCTTGAGGCCTGGAGGGTGGTGTAAGGGAAGGTGCCTTTCAGATGTCACCAGCTTTTCTCTGGGTGGCAGAATTCCCAGAGTATGTATTTTCCTGCACCATCATCCCCATTCTCTTTCTTTTCTGTCCTGTCTTGTCCATCCATCCATCCCTCCCTCCCTTCTTCCTTTCATTTTCTATTGGAATTGACACTAAGGCCTAGTACATGTGGTCTGCCACAACCTCCTTCTCAGCTCTTTTTTGAGTTTTGATTGTGGTATAGGCTCACTCTAAGTTGCCCAGGCAGGCCTTGAACTTGCCATTTTCCTGATTTCTCCCCCCACCTCATCTTCCCCCACCCCAGCCTCCCACTTCAACCTCCCCCACCTCAGCATCTCAAGTAGTTGAGGATACATGCCTATGCCATCAGGCCCTGCCTGTTTTGCTTCTTGGGAATTAAAGGCAATACAATAATGTATGGAAAGAAAGGATACAATATTTGTGTTGTCCCATCTGGAAAGGAGGTGAGAAACTTGCTTCCATGCTTGTAGTGCTTCTCCAAGAGCTCGTCCCCCACGACCTATGTGCACAGCAAACAACATGAACTTCTGGCTGCTGAGCTCACACATGGAGCTAACAGCATCAACTGCTGGCTGCTAACTAATGGATGGAGCATCGTAGTGCAAACCATTTCTTCACTTAATGTGCTTAACCCTGCTTCAACCACACAGGATGGTCAGCAGCAACAATTAACAGGTCACCCTGAATGCCTGCAGTATAACTTCATAAACTTCTCATCACTTACCTATTTAAAAGTTTTCTTTTTTAATTTCATAAAAAAACCAAAGGAGATAAAAAACAGTCATATCACAATGATAACATTCATATCCTTATTGTAACAGTTTTACACATCTGTGGAAAGAGCTTAGCTGAACAACCAAGGGGTAAGTATTATTATGTAAATCTGACTTACTCTGTTATGGAATAATCCTTTTTGTACACTGTGAAAATGTGTCTTTGCTAAGGAGCCTTCTGATTGGTTTAATAAAGAACTGAATGGCTATTAGCTAGGCAGGAAGAGGCTAGGCAGGACTTCTGGGGACAGAGAGCTCTGGAAAGAAAAAAGATGATGTGACAAGCTAGGCACAGAGAGAGCACAAGACACGTAGGAGGAGAGATAAAAGCTATGAGTTACATGGTAGCAGGTAGATGGATAGAAATGGGCTAATTTACATTGCAAGAGCTAGTGGAACAAGCCTAAGCTATAGGCAGAGCTTTAGCTTAGGTATTATGTTTTAGGTATTAGGTATTAATTGGTATTAAGTTCCTGTAGGTTATGGTTCTACTGAGATGACTTTATAGTTCTGTGTCACATCACATGTCACAGCAAATACTGGTCACCTACTGTTTGATCCTCTCCCCAAAGTACAGCACTATCAGAGTTTATATTTTTGACAGTATGGTTAGTATGGAATGAATTTTCATTTCTCAGGTGATTAAGGAGGTTGAGCAGGCTTTCACATGATTTTAGTCATCTGCATTTTCTCTTGTGAGAAGTTTCTGTTTGAGTTTTGGGAAAGGACTCACTTTTGAGCAAGATTCACCTTTTTGTTTTGTTTCTTCTTCCTTTTTTTTTTTTTTTTTTTTTTTTTTTTTTTTTTTTTT